TGGCATGTTTGAAGGAATGAATGAAAGGAGAGCTCTAAATTGTAACAGTTGGAATGGACCCTGGCATAAGTGAAGCGCACAGGAGGAAATGAGTAATTATACTGGGGCGGGGAGGCTTGGTGACAGAGGCCTTTCCAGACATGAGTTTGATAAGCAGAGAAGGAGAGCATTCCAGGCAGAGGGAACTGCTAACACCGAGGCCTGGAGGCAAGAAAGAGTCTGGCATGTTCTGGGGTCGTGGAGGAATGTAGTACAGCTGGGCCTCAGCATCTGAGGGCAGTGGCCAGAGAGCAGGTGGAGTCAATTCCTGAAAGGCCTTGCAAGGCCAGGTCCAGGGTAAAGAGCTGGCCTTGATCCCTACAGTCTGAGGGCCCCAGTGGGGGCAGGTGGGGTAGTACTAGGCCCACAGGGACCACTCTGGATGGTGGTAAAGTGGCAGGTGTCTCCAAGTCTCAGGCCCAGAGCTGACCTGTCCCCTCCGCCAACCCCAGCATGGTGAGGACACCTTCAACCGGGCCAAGCTGCTCAATGTGGGTTTCCTAGAGGCGCTGAAGGAGGACGCCACCTACAACTGCTTCATCTTCAGTGACGTGGACCTGGTGCCCATGGACGACCGCAACCTGTACCGCTGTGGCGACCAGCCTCGCCACTTCGCCATTGCCATGGACAAGTTCGGCTTTCGGTGAGGGCTCCCTTCTCAGGTGGACCCTAGGCCTCCCCACCCCACTCAGGCCATCGTTCCCAGCCCCAGTGGCCCCCTAGCTGCCGGGCCTCCGTCTGGAATCCCCGGGGGCCCCTCACTGATGCCTGCCTTCTGTGCCCTAGGCTGCCCTATGCTGGCTACTTTGGAGGTGTGTCGGGCCTGAATAAATCCCAGTTCCTGAGAATCAATGGCTTCCCCAACGAGTACTGGGGTTGGGGTGGTGAGGATGACGACATCTTCAACCGGTGAGTGGGGACAGGGTGGGGAGTAGACTGGGTGCTTGAGGTTGGGGGGGTGGGCGCAGACCAGGCGGGGCTCTTCGCCCTCCCTGGTGCCTGCTCCAGCCCGGCTGTGTCCGTCCCCAGGATCTCCCTGGCTGGGATGAAGATCTCGCGCCCAGACATCCGCATAGGCCGCTACCGCATGATCAAGCATGACCGGGACAAGCATAATGAGCCCAACCCTCAAAGGTGACCCCCAGCGCCCTCGACCCCAACCGCCCCGGCCCCTTCCTCTGTAGAAGTGACGTCCCAGTGCCACTGATCCCCAGAGGTGATCCCAAGGTCCCCGACCCTTGACTTCTAGAGATGACTCCCACCACCCCGATCCCTGTTCCCCAGTCCCCAGCTCAGCCTTTCCCCATCTGGCTCTCGCCCCTGGCCTGATTCCTAGAAGTGACTGAAGTTTAAAGGCAGGGCTCAGATCGTCACTGAGTAGCTCGCATTCCTCTCGGTGCCCTCGCAGACCTCACTTGTGCCAGAACAGATAGGACGAGAGATAGCGGGCCCAGGGTACAGCTCCAGGGCCTGCGGACCTAACAGAGGTGGCCCGAGCAATGTGGGGTGGTAGTGGAAATCATTGCTGAGCCCTCTGAGATTGGAGTAGGCGGCTGGTCTCTGAGGAGGAAGCAACATTGGTGTCTGATGCTGGGTGGGAGAAGTGCCTGAGGGCATGTGAAATGTAGGGGCAGGGGGCGAGAGGGTGCAGAGCAGTCAGACCCAGTCCCAGCTGGATGGCCCGTGTTAGGTTCTTTCTAGGCAGGGAGGCCGGCAGAGGCAGCACAGGGCGATCAGGGCAAGGTGCTGTCCTGGCAGAAGAGGGAGTGATGGTGGGAGGCTTCCTGGAGGAGGTGATGGTAAACTGGAGTTTGAAAAGAGTTATTCATTCTACAAATATGTGTCACACACCTACCCTAGGCACAGTGCTATATTCACCAGGCTGATGGAGGAGGCCAGTCTGGATAAAAGGAATAATATGTGTAGGAGTCTGGAATGTGAACGTCCATTGTATACGCTGAGAGTCTGAAACTCTTCAGTCTGAAGGCTGGGAGTGACAGGAGAGGAGGTCTGCTGATCCCAGGTTGGGAGTTTCACTTTTGTCCCAGAGGCACTGGCGAGTCATGGAAGGGTTTCCAGCGGGGAGGGGGCAGGACCAGATTTGGGTTTGGAAGGACCACCCTTTGAGTTTGAAGAAGGTGAAGGGCTGGCAGAGCTGCCGGGTGGAGCAGGAGGAAGCAGACTAGGCCCAAAGGAGTTGACGGAGCCCCGGGTGCATGTGGTGTGACACTGCCGTGCCCACACGGGACCAGTAGGGATGCTCTGCTCTGAAGCCAGTGTGTCAGAGTGGGGAGGGAGGCGGCAGCACTGATGGAGGGTTGATCTTTGGCAGAAGCGTGACGCACCAGGCGTCCAGGGAGCTGATGAAAAAGCAGTTCAGATAAAAACCATGGTGAGCAGGGAAAGGACGAGAGGCTGGGAGAAGAGGTGCTTTGGGGCATCTGAGGGAGAGCACTCAGTGTTGGGATGGCTCTGGAGAGCTCAGAAGGACTGGGAGGATCAAAACAGTTGGGATGAGGGTGGGAGGAGCTCTGGAAGCACATGCCAGGGGCCATGGTCCTGTTTCAGGAATAGCGTGTCTAGGTGCCATCCTCAGTTGTGATGTCTGCCTTGGGGGGGGAGTGGCACGATAGCGAGATGTTTCTGGCTTAAGGAACTCTGTGAATGCTGGTTTCATCTACCTAGTTGCTTTTGCCTCAGATCTAGGAGTTCTGGATTCTTCTTTCCCTCACCCTACATGTCCGGACCATCAGCCGGTCACATCAGTGCAACCCCCCAAACATATCTGAGCTGGTCCACTTTTCCCTTTACCTCTGCCCTAGTGAGGCCTCCATCCTCTTGCCCGGCCGGTTTTCTGTCTTCCCTCTTCTAGAGTTCATGTTCCCTGGCCCTCCCTCCCCCAAACTGGGCGAAAAATCCCTCAGTGTCTTCTCACCCACAGAATAAAAAACTGCTTCCTCTGACTTACAGAGGCCTGCCCGTACATGCTCTAACCTCCCAGCTAATCTTACTCTGGTTTTTCCCCTTGGCCCATTAAGCTCGAGCCACTTAGCTGTGCAAATTCCCATTTCCAGTGTAGGGTCAGCACGTGCTGTTACCTCTGCCTGGAATGCTCTTCCTCTGCTGTCAGCTTGATGGCCCGCACGCACCCCTTCCACGGCAGTCATCCTGGTCTCCCTCTCCTGTCTCCCTTAGCGCACTGATGTCTTCCTTGTCTGTTACTTGTCTCCCTCAGTGGAATAGACTTGCCACGAGAGGAAGGACCTTGCTGTCCTGTTCATGGCTGTGACCCTGGTGCTTAGAGCGCGCCTAGCACACGGGGACTGCTCAATAAATAGATGGTGAAGGAGTGACTAAAGGATGAGGAACAGAGAAGATGGCACAGAGATGATGGGTGTGAGGAGTAAAGATGATGCATACAATACAGGACACGTTGCATTTGAGGTACCTGTGGGGTGCCCTGTGTCTAGGTCTGAGATGAGAGAAAGATTTGTGAGGGTGTTGTGATTCTGGACTCAAGGGGGTGAGATCTCTTTTTTGAGGGTAGTTCCAAGAGCCAAAGGGCTCCAGGCAGGTGGAGGGGGCGACGAAGAGAACCGAGTCACCCCAGGAAGAAGCCAGGATGGCGTGCCCCTTGGCCCCAGTGATCTCTGTTGGGTTTGGTGGTGAGCCCTGATCTGGACCCACTTCCATCCTATCTAGGTTTACCAAGATTCAAAACACGAAGCTGACCATGAAGCGGGACGGCATCGGGTCAGTGCGGTACCAGGTCTTGGAAGTGTCTCGGCAACCGCTCTTCACTAATATCACAGTGGACATTGGGCGGCCCCCATCATGGCCCCCTCGGGGCTGACACCAATGGACAAAGGCTACCAGTGCCAAGGATTGCCTGCCAGAGGACTGACCTACAGCCTGGCTGGTGGCTGCTCTGTGACAGATCCCCCAGGACAGAGACTGTGGGCTCTGTTTTCTGAGGGTCTTCAGTAGGCCCCCCAGCTGCACCTGGAAGTTTCAGAACTTACTTCGGGGAGCTTCTGTCCTGGGCAGACCCCTCAAGTGTGGCCCTCTCTGGGGTCAACCCTTCTTCCTGCTCCTCCCTCCCCAGTTCAGCCCACCTCACTGTCAGGGTTGGGCCAGCCCCTGCACTGCCTCGCCGAGTGGCCTGGGCCAGGTCACTCCACCTCTCTGTGCCTCAGTTTCCCCCCCTTGAGTCCCCTAGGGCCTGGAAGAGTGGGAGGTATGACTAGGGGGCAATGTCACTTCCAGGGGGAATTCTCAGACCTGGGGATCCCCCATGCTCCCAGGGGAGGGGAAACCTTTTTCACTCAACATTGTAGGGGGCAAACTCCAGTGCACCCCCTGCTGAGGAGCAGCGCCAGGAGGGGACCAGAGGGGGTGCTGTGTCGCTGCCTGGGATCTTGGGGTTGGGCTTTGCATGGGGGCGGATGGGGCTCGGATCAGTTGGGTTCCTGCCCCGCCCCCCTCAGAGAGAAGGCAGTAGCCCCAGGGCCGGCTCGTGTTTGTACATTGCACAGAAACTTGTGTGGGTGCTTTAGTAAAAAACGTGAATGGAGGAGCCCCTTTGTCTGTTTGGGGATGGGGATCTGGATCCCTAAACCCAGACCCGGAGTGTGTTATGGGACGGCCAGGGGGAACCAGGACAGCCTATCGGCCTGGCCCAGGCTGTCCTGGTTCCCCAGGCCCCTCGAAACGCAGTGGTTCGCTAGACTTCCGCCGGCTGGAAGGAGAAATGTTTACCCTGCCGCTGCCTCCCGGCCAGAAGAGACAAAGAAGTAATAAACCCATTGGGCTCAGATTTCTCCGTTCTTTCACCTGCCCTGAAGCCGAAAGGTGCTTGGAATCAGGGCGGGGTGGATGGTTCGCACTCCAAAACCACCTACCACGGCTGTGGGTTGGGCTTCGCGAGCCGGCACCGCCCTGGAATGGGCCGGGGCGGGGCCTTATGGGGGCGGGGCTTGGGGTAGCGGGCCCCGTTTCCCGGGTGACGGTCGCGCGGAAGAGGCGGGGCTAGGGTCCCAGTCTCGCGGCCTGGCTCCTGGGTACCCGGCCACGGAGAGTCGGCCAGTAGAAGAGAAGGCGCAGAGATCGGCGGCTCTGGACCGGGCAACTCTAGTCGTAGGGACGGGCGGCAGAACGGGTGGGGCTGGGGAGAGGATGGCCCGAGCGACAGGCTGGGGGCGTGGCATGTGAGACCAGGAAGGGGTGGGGCGTGTGTGGGCGTGCCCGGCCCTGGGAGACCCGCTGTCTCCCAGTAACCCAGCTCTCCGACCTGCTGTCCGGCAGTCCGCCCGTTGTGGGGTGGCGGTGCGGGCAGGCCATGCCTGGGGACTCTCCGCCGCTGTGGGAGCTGGTGGAAGAGCACGTTCCGCTCCTGGAGCGGCCCGAAGTGAAGAGGATTCTAGGGGAGACGACGGTGGACCTGAGCCTGGAGCTGCGGGCAGAGGTGGGGCGTGGGAATGTGGGCCCCACTCCAGGCCTATCCCACGACTTGGGTGATTTCCTCACCTCCTCCGGGTCCCTGGCTCTGCCCGGTAACTTTCGAGCTCTTGTCGGATCTCACTGTCCGCCCAGCCCTCTGGCTACGAGTTAACTCTGCACTGCCCCTCACTCCCCTAGCTCCCCTTCCTCCCCTTACTTCTCCCCCGCAGTCGCAAGGGGTCCCAGCTCTCCTTGCAGGTGGTGGTGTTACGATCACTGCTCCGAGAGGCTCGATCCTTCCAAGCCCCTGGTTCGCGCCCCACCTCTGACCTCTCCTCCCTTCTGGCACCACCGCCCCTCCTAAGAGACCTCGTGCGCCAGGAACTGCGGCAGCTGCTCCAAGGTCTCCGTGGGAAGGCCATCTGTGAGGGCAGGTTGGAGCCTCAGACCTGGGGCAGGGCCCTGTCTCCAGAACTCAGATGGGCTAGCCCTGAAATTGACAAGGGGCCAGGGTCGCCTTTCCTGTGGTTCCCTGGAAGGAGCCCCTGAGTGTCCCCCGTGTGCACCTTCTGCAGGGACCAGACCCAGGCTTGGGTCCAGTATAGCCCCGGGGTCCTGCGCTTTGCCTTGGAGGAGCCCAGGCGTGATTTGCCAGAGCAGGGGATATTCCGCCTGAGAGCTGGTGAGCCCAGGTATAGTGGTAGGAAAGGAGGGGTCTGTTCCCGCTTGGCAGAGACCCCAGCCAACTGGCGGGTCCCACCTGCCAGTATGGAGGAGCTCCTGGTCTGGGACTGGATTCTTCTACAGCCACTTGTTGTAGGGATCAGCACATGAGGGCAGCAGGCCCAGGAGACATGTACCAAGCCTGGAAGCTTGGTTTGATCTGGGTCTTAGAGCATGAGGAACAGACTTCCAGACAGATGAAAAGAGAAGAGCTTTGCAGGAAGCGGGAGCACTACACGCAGACATGGGTGGAAGGAAAGGCTTCATCCAGTGGTCAGTTGTTCCTCTGGCCTGGAGAACAGCTGCAAGGGTTGAGCTAGAGAGGGCTGGGGACTGCACGAGATAAATGAGCAGCAGCGTGTTCATCACTGAATGGCAGCAACTTATTTGTCACACATCCTTAGGAAGTGGGTGATGTCCCCATTTTGCAGATGAGGAAACTAAAGCTCAGAACAAATGATTGATTTGTCCAAGCTCACACACAGTGAAGGGTGGCAGAGCCCATTTGCAAACCCAGGCTCCAGAACTCCTCCTCTTAGTACCATCTTATGTTGCCTTTGTGAGAAAACACACAAAATTGTCTAGGAGAAATGGCATTTGTGTCCTGAAGGCCTGGGGTGAAGCAACATGGGAGAGTGATGTTGACTTCATCTGCCAGCAGCTGTCACAGGGACCTCAGCATCATCAAGGACCAACTGAACGTGTCCCACGTTGACCAGGTTGCCAGATACCTGCGGTGAGGCCCCCGAGTGTGTGCAGTGGGGGTCGAGACAAGGAGGGTGGGACGGGGGATGGATCCTAACGTACTGGGACTATGAGGAAGGAGGAGGGAGGCAGCATACCTGATGGGGAGACCCAGGAGAGTAGGGCTGAGAGGTGGAAGGGGCAGGGTGCTGGTGAGGTTGCTGCCAGGAAGTAGCCAAGTAGGGATGCCAGCAGGGGCCTTGGCCTGAGGACTTTTATCCTGGGGTGTGGGAGAGAGATGGACCACAGAAGAGTCTTTTAAACAGGGGAAGGGCTGTGATCTGGGGGAGAATGGAGGCAGGAGGACTTGCAGGCCCAATACTGTCGTGAAGAAGAGAGAATGGGGCCCCCCAGCGTGGGCGCTGGGAGGCGGGCAAGGAGAGGACACGTCCTGCCCAGGAAGAGGCCGGCGGGGCTGCAAGGCCATGCTGGGATTGCACTTGGGCAGCAGAGGGAGAGGTGGGCTGAGAAAGGAGGGCCTAGAGGGAACTCCTGGTAAGGCTGGAGGCTGGGTCTGTGTGGCGGGCTCTGCTGTGACCCGGGCCTGCAGCACTGCTGCCGGTGCCGCACTCCCCCATGTCCCAGGGCCCTCCTGGAGGAGGAGTGTCGCAAGTTGAAGAGGGAGATTGCCATCCTGCAGGTGAGCGGCAGCCCTGGGCCTCCCCACCCCCAGAGCCTTTCTGCTGAACCTAGACACACCCGTCTCTCACCTGGTGTGTGACATACACATACGTGTGTGTGTGTGTGTGTGTGTGTGTGTGCAAAGATTGTGTGATTCCTCTGTCCATTTCTCCTGTATGCACACTTCCCGTACGTGTGAATCCAGATTCTGGTTGAGTCCCTAAGTCCAAGGTCGGCACTTTTAGATTAACCTGCTGGATTTGCCCCTGGTCTTTTGCCTCCTTCTCTTCCCCATGTCTGAGTTCGGGCCTGCCACTACCTTGCCAAGCTCAGCTTTTCAGGGAGGCTGGTGTTCCTCTCAGGAGTGTCCTCAGGTGGCTGGGATAAGGAGGCTGCATGGGGTGGTTCCTGGGCCCCACCATGGATATCTTGGCCTCTGCATCCTGCCCCGCCCCACCCCGCCCCTGCTGTAAGGCTGGGCACTGAGCCAGCTCTCCCTGCAGCGCCGCCTGGAAGAGGAGTATACAGGGGCCCCTTTGCCCACTGAGGCAACCCTAGAGCCCACCCTGGCAGGTGAGGACCCTGAGCAGGCCCCAGAGCACCCAGCCTCCTGTCCCTGTCCCGCTCTTGTACACACACCCTGGAATTGCCGAGTGCTGCGTCTCAGCTAGACCTCTCCTCCAGAGCTACAGGAACAGAAGGCAGCCATGCAACAGGAGCTGCGGGCACCTCTGAGGCCTTCCTGTGTCTCCCCCGGTCACAGGTAAACCAGAGCAGGTGGACAGCTGGACGGGGTGGGCTAAGCGTCAGGCCATGGCCCCCTGACAGCTACTCCCTCCTGTTCAGGCTGCGGCCCTTGGAGTCCTCCAGCCAGGGCCTCGGACCACTGCCTTGCTTCCGTGGGGCTGCTGGAGTTTGGGCCAGGCCTCTCCAGTGCCACCTGCCCTCTCCTCCTCTGGAGCGCTGCCCCAAACCTCAAGGCCTGGCCACCACCTGCCGCTGGGGACGGAAGCTTCAGTGCAGCCCCAGAAAAAGGCCAGCTTCCACTCGGATGTCCAGTGTGGCGCCCCAGGCCCCAACCTGAAGGGCTGGGCAGGAAGGAGACTTCCACTTCTGCTGGAACTCGCCCTGTCTGCTGCTGACACCTCTCAGCTGCCATGGCCCAGCCCACTTTAGGTCTAGTCTTGGATGAGCCCTCACCGGGATTCCAAGGCTGCCTGTCTGTCTGGTCCTCACCCTACCACCTCGCCTGGTCCTTGGTGTCTGGTCCTGACCATCACAGCCTCTGGCCTTTCTCTTCCCAGGCATCCCTCAAAGGCCTGGCAGGAAGAGGTCTCATCCCAGCCCTGACTCTCGTCCCCATGGGGGACCCAGACAAAGCACAGCAGCGGCTCAGAGACGGGAATAGAAATTTCATTAAAATCTATGGACTTTAAAATCCTAGTGGTGCACGGATGGGCAGGGGTGGGCTGCGCACCGTTATTGCTACAGAGGATTAGAGGCGGCTCTTCCGGGGTTGTCACTGCACAGAGGGGTACAGAGGATGGACAAACGGATACTGCAGGGCTTGGGGGAAGGAGCTCTGGCTCCAGAGAGGGGGTGGGGCACGCCGGCTGGGGCCATTTGGCACGTGAACAAGGGCAGCCCATTTTGGGAAGACTGGGCCTTTAGCCTGGCAGAGGGAGGGCAAGGGGGTGTCACGTAGGGTCCCCTTCTCCAGGGCTCTGGGCTCAAGCCTCCTGCTGAACATCACCCTACCCCTTTCCCCAGAAACGAGTTCTTTGGGCAGGCTGTTGGGTCATGGGCCTCTGCTGGCTGGCCCTACAGCCAGTGCTGGGAGGCGGCGCAGAGACCCCAGAGCAGCTGAGTGAGGTGCAGGCAGGCCTGGAAGACAGATTGGGCCCGAGGCCAAGGGCAAGGGGGTGGCAACCACAGATAATACAATTTTTACAAAAATAATTACACAGACAAACAGGGCTGGGGTTACAGCCTGACATGTAACACTGCACAGCCCCCTAGCCCCTTACCCTGCTTCCAGGTAGGAAGATCCAAACCTGCCTGGGCAGAGGCTGGGGTCTGCTCCTGGGGGCAGGAACACTGGTCAGGAGGCTGAAGGCTCAGGGAGGGGGACAGGTAGGGGGCCCACCCGGAACCTTAGCTCAGGGCAACGTGTGGGGGCATCAGAGGCCAAATAATGTCCAGCTGCCTCCGGGGACCTGGCCTGAGACCCCTCCAAAGTGCTTTGGGCCCCCCAGCAACCCTCCCATCACTCACGCCCCCCAGCTGCCATCTTGGCATCCAAAGGACCTGTAAACACTAGGGACACGAGCACGAATGACCACGCTAGCAGTGGTGGCCAAGGTGACAGGAGCCGCCCTGGTCCGGGCGTGGAGGGGCAGGCGGTGACACCTGTCCACCGCCTCCCCAGTCTCTGTGGCGGGAGCACGGGGCGGGGGTGGGGCACTCCCCCGGCAGTTGTGCTCATATCCGGGAGTCCTGCAGACGGCTGGAGCCATTACTGCCCACCGTGGGGATCTGGGCCTTGTCTGGGTGCAGCGGCTGGACCTCAAGCCCGTCTTCAGGAGAGGGTGGAATGGTGCGGGCATAGCGCCCCGTTCGGTGCTCCAGGAGGGCGGGCCCCCAGTCTCTGCTTGGCTTGGTTGCATTTTTCAGACGCTGCAGGAGAGGTAGGCATGGTTGGGGGCGGGGTGGGCACGGTCATCAGAAGGGAGCCCTGAAGCCCCATACATCCACCCCCTCCTGTTTCACCTGGCTGCCCCCTGCCCCCACCCCTCACCTGGAGGAGGGTATCCCCATCTGTGCGGCCGAGCTGGTACAGGGCGTAGAGTGGAATGCAAATGACAGAGGACAGAGCCATGAGGAAGCCGATGGCCACAGCCCAGCCTGGATACTGGTAGTGGTTGTAGGTAATTGGCTGGTACTGGATCACCGTGAAGATGAGAATGAACTGCAGAAAGTGGGGGACGGGAGTGGGCGTGAGTCCTGCCCAGCCCCACCCAGGCCTCAGGCCTCCTATCTGCACCCCCTCCCTCCCTCTCCAGTTTCCCAAACTAGAAAGAGGCATTTTGGGGAGGGCGGGGGTGACGTCAACGTTTGAGTAGTGGAAGAAGCTGATGGAACCAGGGGTCCAGGGTATGATGGGCAGGTGGCCACGGTGGAAGGGGAGAGGTCTGTCTTCTGCATAATCCTGAACCAGCCAGGGAGCCACTCAGCTGCTGTGGCCCTTGGAAGTCAGTTCTGCTCAAAGACTCGCAATGGCCCTGCATTGCCTGCTGAAGCAAGGCCAAATCCCTGGCCTTTAGGGCCTTCTCCGCCTCACATCAAGACCTCGGCTTATCTTTCTGGACTTACTGTCTCAGTGTCTCTGCTACACCCAGCGTTTCCCACCCTTCTTACTGTGGAGGATCCTCTTTTGCATCTTCCTCTGTCAAACCCTATGCAAATGCCACCTCCTTCAAGAAGCCTCCACTGATTTCCAGTCTCCTCTTCCTGAAAGGGCTTTAGTGGCATTTTCCATCTACTAAGCATTTTATGGGTGTTTCCCCCAGACCTGGGAGCTCCTGGGATTGCATCAGCTCTGGGTCTCCAGTGCCCAGCACAGTGCCTGGCACAATCTCATGTGCTGATCTGAACTGACTTATGCAAGGAGGTGGGAGTAATGGGGGAGAGGAAAGGGCAAAGTCCTGCCAGTCTGTGGCTGTGGATACAGTGACAGACAGCCTGGGGAGGCTCCAAAGGCTAGAAATCATGAGTGTCAGGCTGGGGATGCTCTCGGGAACCGCTTTGGAAAGAGATGAGGGACATGGGAAATAAAGCCTGGGGTTCCAGTAACGAAAAAACTAAAGTTAGCAGAAAGATGGGCAGGTGGCTCATGGGCCACCCAGAGGAGCCGGGGCAGTGGATGCCACTTGCCAGGAGGGCTCAGCATCCACCCTGAGCCCTCAGTTGTGTCCTGGAGCTCAGGCCCCTCCAGCCTTCTGGGTGACCAAATTCTAGAAGGCAAGACCCATATCCATTCAGGGGTGGGTGGGCCATCCTAGGACGCTGCACACAGAGGAGCTTAGAGCAAGTTTTCTGAATGGAATTAGATCCTGATCTAAGGTGTGGATAAATTCTTTAAAAAAAAATTTTTTTTTAGGTTTTTGGCCACACCCCACAGCATGTGGGATCTTAGTTCCCCGACCAGGGATCAAACCCACGCCTCCTGCATTGGAAGGCAGAGTCTTAACCACTGGACCGCTGGGGAAGTCCCGATAAATTCTTTGTTTGAGCTGATAGAAGGATGGATTTTGTCAAAAAAAGACCTTTTCAGCAATATAAAGAAGTAAAGCCCCCAAAGAAAACCAACAGCTCAGAAACACGTGTCCACAGAGCCTGGCATCCTCACCTGAAGGTGACTCCAGCCTGGCTTTCTGGGCACAGAGAGGGTGCTGCCGGCTTTGACTCAATCTCGTGGAGACACTGGACCCAGGGCCCTTCCTGCCTCCTGCCCTGCCGGGGCGGTGCCCTGGGTCTCCGAGTAGGGCAGCAGCCTCCCGGGAGCCGTGGAGGATGAGCTCCCCTGGGGCAGGCCCTGGGCCAAAGCCACAACCCTCAAGGGCACGACGCTTGGCTGGCATCTACCCTCCCCTCCTCCCACCCCTTACAGGAGACTTCCGTTGCTCCTGTTTCAAAGCTGGGCCGGTGGCCAGAGCTGGTGCCTGCGCCAGGCTCGGGAAGATCCCACACCCCATGTGACGGAGGCCTCAGCCCTCAGGGGCCTTTTATTCAGAAACATGAGCCAAAGTGGAAATCCGGTGCTGACCTCTGTGGCACACAGGAGCTGGCATGATGGGGGCATGACTCCGGACCCTGCCCTGGCCACTTGGCTGACCCCTCCGTCACTCAGAGATGGCTCTGCCTCTTCTCTGTGGAGGGACCATTATACTAGCAAATCCCTTTTGCCCCCCATTTCTCACCCTGAGCATAAAGGAGCAAAATCAGAGGGTTTTTAGTCCATAGACCACCCCTCCTCCTGCACTTGTTTCTAGTGTAGCACGGGCCCAGCACACAGGCTCCAGATCAGACTACCTGCTTTGCATGAGGGCTCTGCCTCTTAGAAGCTGTGTAGCCTTGGATCAATTACTTAACATTTCGGTGCCTCAGTTTCCTCATCTGTAAAGTGGAGATCATAACGATACCTTGGAGAGTTGTATCACATGACTTACTATATGGTTCCCGGCCACGGTGGGAGTTCCCTCCACCATTTCAGCTCCCTGATGGGAGTTTCCCAGGTGTTGAATACTGGTGGAAACCCAGAATTCCCCCTCCCAAGCCGGCCCACTCCAGTGCCTGGAAGGCTTACGAGGGTGTCCCGGATCCTGAGCTGACATCTGACTTGTACAACCTGCTTCTGCAACATGCATTCACACCACATACCCTGAGTACTCTGAGCACCTCGGCTATCAGGGACTGGAGACAGGAGCTCAGCGAGGCTGACGACACCACTGTCAATCATGGTTCCCGAGGCTCCTCTGGGAATGCCAGGCGGGAACACCAGGGAGGGAGGGCTGGCTCTCAGCTGCTGCCAGCCTGCTTAACCCTTCCAAAGCTGGGCACTGTCTTCAAATAAACGGCCCTGTACTCCCTTCCTAAGCCAAGGCCAGGGCCTGGGTGGTTCTGAGTCTCCACACACCTGTCTGACTCTACGCAACCTTGCTCGGACCCCCAGTGGTCAGATTTGTGGGTGTGGAGCCTCCATGGGGAGCTCTGGCCAGATGGATGGGCTCTTGCTCTCCCTTTGCCGGTTCCCAAGAGAAGGACGCTTGCCACAGGGCAGCAGGGGAGGGACCACTGAGGAACTTACAAAGATGATAGCTGGAGAGACGAAGCGCCAGCAGATCTGGAAGAAGAGGGGCGGTGGGAATCCCAGCATCATCTGGATGTCCTGGAAGTAGTTGTGGTGCCCTGGAGAGAGGGAGGTCAGCAGGCCCGCAGGACAGCGTGGGCAGGCCAAGGGCCGGGACACGGGAGGCCACGTAAGCTTGGGCACTTACCGTAAATGTACATGATGGACACACACATGATGCAGGAGATGACGACCAAAGAGAAGCTGGCCGCGTAGTTGTCCATCAGCAGCAACCAGTAGATGCCTGCCTGCGGGCCAGTGGGCAGCTGAGTCCAGGGTGCCCGATGCTACGCTCCCCCCTTGTTAAGCCCCATACCCTGGCAACTCTGGCCTAGCCTTTCCCTCGGTTCTTACCTGGCTGGTGAGGGGGATGCCCAGCAGGAAGCCAGCCACAGCCACGCCCAAGGTCACATAAGTCTTTTTCTGCAGGATCCACTCATTCCCTACCTCATCCACAATGGCCGTGACCAGCGTCTCTAGGAGGCAGAACTGCAGGATACAGCCATCAGAGCAGGGGCCCGACCTCCGCCCCTGCCTCCTCCCTCCCCAAGCCACAGGCCCATGTCCTGCACCTCGTACCTGAGTGCCCAGCCCCAGCAAGATGAGCATGAAGAAGAAGAGCAGGGACCAGAGCGGGGAGATGGGTAGCAGGGTGAGGGCCTCAGGGTATGCTACGAAGGCCAGGCCAGGGCCGTGGTCTGCCACGCGCGACACGTCCACGCCCAGGTGACTGGCCATGAAGCCCAGGATGGAGAAGATGACAAAGCCGGCGTAGACGCTGGTGGCACAGTTAGTGATGGTGATGATGACGCTGTCCCTGATGGGGGGGAACCAGGCAGAGTCAGGACACGCAGCTTAGTTCCCCCTGCCCCCTTTGGGCCAAGAGACTTGGAGACAGAGAAAGTTCTAGGAACAAAGGTGCCCCCGATCTCTTTTCTGGTCTGCTCTGGGCCTCTTTAAGTGGGCCTGAGGCTCCTGAGTCCTCACAGAGCCCTGGGGCATCACCGCCTTCACCTCTCCTCTCTTCTGCCAAAGCTCTCTCCGTTCTGCAATGACTGGACCCGGACCCCGCGTTGCCAGGCTCTCAAGGCCGTGAGTGGAAGGCAGGGCCCTGGTGGGCCAGGAGGCTGCACTGGACCTGGTGGGTCTGGGGGAGCCGGGGTCAGGCTGCAGAGAGGGTAGGAACTGGGGGCAGCCCCAGGGCTGGAAGGGAGAGTCTCACCGGTAACAGTTGTTGTGGAACTTGTTGTAGGAAGCCATGGTGATGAGGCCGCCCCACGCGCAGCCCAGCGAGTAGAAGATCTGGGAGGCGGCATCCCCCCAGACCTGCGGGAGGGATGGGCCGGTGAGGAGCTGTGGTCAGAGGCTGGCACCTCCCTGCCTCTCCCCGGCCCTCTAGGTCCCCCTCCGTCCACAGCCCACCTTGGCCTCCAGGATCTTGTCCCACTGTGGGGTCAGGTAGTACATGATGCCCGTGAAGGCTCCTTCCAGGGTCACGCCACGGATGAACAGGATGGTCAGCACCACATAGGGAAATGTGGCCGTAAAGTATACCACCTGGGTGCGAGAGGGGCCCCGCTGGACTCCTCTGGGCTCTTCCTGCCCCCTCAACCACCACTGGTCCTCTGGTCCCTCTTCCCCTCCCATATCCTTTCATCACTCCCCCACCCACCCCTCCACACACAAAACCCAGGTAGGGGAGGCAGGATATCTCTGGGTGGGCACAGACCCTGCTGGGGGAGGGGTACTTACTTTCCCTGAAGACTTGACCCCTCGGATGAGGCAGAGGAAGACGACCACCCAGGAGACACCCAGGCAGCCAAGGAGCGGCAGTCGCACCTCCCCGAAGTTTCCGATGTCATCTGACAGCTTCAGCACATAGAGCCTGGAAAGGGGATACTTTGTCACTGATGGCCAGCCCCGCCACCCAGCAACAAACTCCCAAGGCCAGGGCCCAGTCTGGCAGCTCCCTCCTTTCTCACGAAGTCCCAGCAGCCGGCTGATGTGAGATGGGAGCGTCTGTGAGGCGCCAGCCCCGGCAGGCCCAGCCCCCTCTGCCTGCTTCCTCTCCTAGGACCCTCAAGGGCACCTGCAGGCCACACCCTGGTCCTGGGCCAGCCTCTTCAGCCCCTGGGTGTGAAGGTCTCCCTGTCCCTGCTCAGACCCAGCCCAGGCCCTTGCTTGTGTGTTTCTCCCTTCAGGAATGCCCTCTCCTCCAGACTAGACACACCCTATCTGGCGTCACCTCCTCCAGGAAGCCTTCTGTGATCTTTTCACTCACACTAGTCCTCCAGCTCTGATGAACAGAGGGAGGCGGTGGAGGACTGAGTAAAGATGGGGGCTCCGGAGCACGCAGGCCCAGACTTGAACCTACGTATGTGTGGCTCTTCCTGGCGCCCTGTGCCATGCCAGCTGTGCTCTTTCAATCAACTGGACGTTTATGTGCCAGGCCCTTGCTAGATGCTGGGCATATCAACCTGGATCAGGCATTGTGGGTACTGCCAGGAGGAGTGCCTCAACCCCATGGGGAGGAGCACACTGGAAGTCTTCCTGGAAGAGGTGAAGCTTGAGCCAAAGTTCGAGGGATGGGGAGGAGGTGGGTGAAGAGGAGTGGAAGTGTATGCCAGGCTGAGGGAATAGCACGCAGCAGGACAGGGGTCAGGAACCAGCACAGCCCCGCCTGGGCATGTCAGTAGCTCAGGAAGGCTGGAGGAGAAGAGGGAAGGGAATAAAGAAGGATGAAGATAGGAAGGGACCAGACCAAGAGAAGCTGCGAAGTCAAGGCTGAGAAGTTTGGATTTTATTCTGAGAACAATGAGAAGCTTCTGGAGGGTTTTTAGAAGAGCACTCTCAGGGTCTCTCCTTGGCTCAAAGCCTTGCAGCAGCTCCCATCTCTCGCCATGGAAAAACCAAAGTCCTTACGGTGGCTACAGAGCCCTACATGATCCATTACCTCCTGCCATCTCTCGGATCTCCTCTCCTCCTGCTCTTCCCCTTGCTCACTGGCTCCAGCTGCACTGGGCTCCTTGCTGTTCTTTAAATGTGCTGGGCATGCTCCCACCTTTGCACATGCTATTCCCTATTTGGAGTACCCTTTCCCCAAATCTCCACATGTCCACATGGGTGTGAGACCTGTGCAGGCACACAGGACCCCATGCTTAGAAGGGCCCTGTGCTTGGTTTAATGCCCTGCCATTGTCATCTTGCAATTCTTAATTCATTTGAACTAGGGGCCCCATCTTTTCATTTTGCAGTGGGCCCCACAAATTATGCAGCTGGGCTTGTCCACGTGGCTCCCGCCCTCTTTACTTCCTTCAGGGCTTCACTCAGGTGTCCTCTTTGCAAAGGAGCCTACTCTGGCACACCTGATTAAACCTGCCACCCTGGCCCCAGCCTGGCACACCTTACCCCCCTCTCTGCTATATTTTCCTCCACAGCACATCTCTTTCTATCACACTGTACATTCTACTATTTAGTTTGTCATCTGCCCTCTGAAGGCTGGGGTTTTTGTCTGTTTTGTTCACTGTTGTATCCCCCAGTGCTTAGCACAGTGCCTGGCACAGAGCAGTGCCCAATAAATATTTGTTGAATGCATGAATGAATGCACGTGATGGAAAATGGACTGAGAAGTATAAAGGGGAGAACCTGGAGGGGAACTGGCTTGGTTGTTGGAGTTGTCCAGGCTAGAAGTGATGAGCAAGAGACAAACTCTTGAGCCTCAGTTTCCTCATCTGTAAAATGGGCATCATAACACCAACCTAGGATAATTTGTAGAGAAATTTAGGTAAATACAGTCTCCTTTCTTTCCCTTCTTTCAGCAAGGGTCTCTCAGCGTAGCTCATAGGCTGTCCTCTAGTCTTAGCTATTTTTACTTTTTTTTTTTCCAAATCAGTTCTCAAACCTCATGACAACATGTTTAATACCTTGCGAGGGGTTGTCACTCCGGCCCCTCGTGGGACAATGTTGCCAGGCCTGGGACTTGGCGTTTGCTTGGTCAGCCTGCCTGGCTGTTAAGACTTGCAAGCACCTTGTCCTCCCTCCTCGGCCTCAAATCTTCCCCCAGGCCGCCGTACACATTGTGACCTGCAGAGGGCGGTGTCCAACACGCCCCTCTCCTGTCCAACTCCTGCCATAGCGCTGGTTCATTCAACGGGCCACGCCCTGGGCTGGAACCTTTCCAGGCTCTTAGTCCATGGGGGAGCTAAAGACAAAGGGATGGAGAGGTTCCCCCCAAGGAGAGGCTCCTGGACCCCTGCAGCTGTGCTTTCCAGTCCTTTTCCCTTCGTGGCATGCAGAAAAAATATTTTGGGCCCGTAAGGGCAAATCGACAAGGTCACTCAAAGTAAGGCAGCAGGGCTGGGGACTCTGGGCTGCCCAAGCGCCACTGGACTGGCACACTATTTAGGGTGCATCGTGTTGGGAGGCTCTGCCTTCCAGAATAGCCATCGGGTCCTACTGCTACAGCCGAGAGTCGCTTTACTTTAAGCAACAGCGTTCAAAGTAAAGAAACCATTTCTTGTTCAAAAGACTTTTTAAAAACTTTGCTAATTATACCTGTTAAGCTGGTAGTGCTTTATATTATCTTTTATTGCAAGAGTCCAGCATATAATACGAGGGCTTAAAGAGTTTATAAGGCTAGCCTGGGAACTAAATAATGAACTCTACCTATCTTTTTATAGTACCATATTTAGTGTTTTGCTTTGGTTTTGGACTATGTGCTTTTGAGATCAAACAGCTAACCTTAAAAGTTTTGGAACCCCACATATTTACAAGTTGGCTCTCGCATAACATCTCTGGAATTATTCTGCATTATTTTTAAATTTCCCCAACCAGGTGGTAAATGCCTTGAGAACAGGACACCCTAATCTATTTCACTGCATCTCCAGCAGTGGCTATCACTGTGCTTACTGAGCACCCATCACTGTTCCTAGTGATTTATGTTGCATCTTTATAACAACAAGAATGATGTTGTAACCACGCCCGCTTAACGGATGAACAGCTGAGACTTAGAGAGTTTTGGTGACCTCCCAAGTCCACGCAGCTGGTAAGTGGCAGAGCCAGGATTTGAGTGAGGTCTGTGTGGCTCCGGGGCTGCCATGAAGACACCAGGAGAGGGGTGCTGGGATCCAAGTCCCACTGGGTGTCAGGTAGTCTGCTGGGGAGATGAGAGGGCATGTCCTGAGCTTAGGGCCTGCCTAGCAGGCGTTAGACCAGCACACAGAGGACTGTAAGACAAGGTTGTGAAGGGGTGGTGAAGGAGGGGAAGACTGTGGGCCAAAGGGTGAGCAAGAGGCAGACGTGGGCTCAGAAATCTGCCCTGGGAGCTTCTCTTGCTTTAGAGGAGTCACTTAATCTTTCTTTTGACTTGTTTGTTCACCTGTAAAATGGGAATATTTTATAAAACCTGCACCCACTACCTAACAGCGTTGCTGTGGGGCTCAAATGAGATTGTGCAGCTTTCCAGAGGGGCGCTGGAGAGTGTGGACCAAGAATGCCTGTAGAATATCATTGGCCTAATTCACACTAGGCACCAGGCACAGAGAGGCATGTATATCCTGACACAGCATTGCTGCCTAGTTCGTTAACCTCTGAGCATAAGTCTCTGAATCTGAAAAACAGGGATAATATCATGTAAGAGAATATGCCTGGCACATAGTAGCTGCCCGAGAAATGGGGGTGCTTGCTTGCCTCACCTCCTTGCTGATGCCATCTGGGGCAGCCCTCTCAAGGGTCATTTCCCCAGGCTCTCCAGGAGGGGGCGGCAGGGAGCCATCCTTCAAGGAACGAGTACTGCCTGGGACAAGCAGCTCCTTAGGGATGCCCGGCTCCAGCCCCGGCTGAGAAGTAGAGTTGAGCTGGCCACCCTGTGGACCTCCTGACCCATGGCTAGTTTTCTTTGAGGGAAATCCCCCTCTAATTGCACTGGATAAAATCTTGTGAGCTTTGCCCTGCAGTGGACCCACCCGTCGGGGAATCCCTGGCAGACGGCCCCTGGGGTGAGAGCTTCTGGAGCATCTCCGGCGTATGGGCGGAGCACTGTGCTTCTGGGAACTTCCAGAAGGTTCACCCCCAGTCTAGATCAAGTTGCCCAGTCCACACCATGCCTCAAATATAGCAGAATACCTAAATGGGCAGAGTCTGTTTCTTACTCCCTGCTCTGTCCCCACTCTGAGTGCTGTGCCTGGTACCTACTAGGAGCTCAGGAAATGACCTGTCCTATGACTGAATGACTGAGGCTGCCCAGAGGTAAATTTTCCCGCCCCTTACTGGGAGGCAACAGCTCTGTTGTCTCCACCACGAGCGCCAAGGGCAGTGACCACATCTTAACCATCTTTGAATGTCTATAGCCCAGCACAGAGGCTGGCACAGGGGAGCTGGGCCCTCAGGGTTTGAGCACTGGGCTTGGGCTTCGAGGATACTGACCTGCTAGGACTTCAAGTATCACTGAGGCCTCGGCCACTCACCCACGGCTCTCCATCACATTGTGGAGAAATCCTCCAACCCTCAGCCTGGCATGAAAAGCTCTGCACCTTATAATGTCTCTGGCCTCTTCTGTCCCAATACTCAGTGTCTCACCTGCCCCCGACCCCAGCTCCAGTTTGCCGCCTCCTGGCCTCGGCTCACCTGCTCACGTCTCTCCCAGTCCCTCCTATGTCTCCCTCCCTCCTCTGGGAAGCCTTCTTGATCAGCTCCTCCTGTACCCACCACATCCCTGAACATACCTGCACTGAGGCACCTGCCCCTAAGAGAGGTAACTACCCATCTCCCACCCTGGACTGTGAACTTCTGAGGGCAGGGGCTCAGGGCCATTCATACCCCATGGGCACACAGGGTCCGGCAGGGTGGACGCCATAAATGTTTGCGGAATGAATGAACGACGCCTACCCACCAGTCCACCAAGCCCTCTTCCCATGAGTTCCCCAACAGGACATGGGGAATTTCCTCCAGGATGTCCTGCTGTGCCCTCACACCCACCCAGCTGGGACAAGACCTTCCAAACATCTCCAGCAGCAGCTTTCCCTTCAGCCAGCCCCGTGACTCCGTTCTCTGTCACCACGGAGCACAGTGGTGCCAGGCTATCTTTCCTAAGCACAGCCTGATGAGGGCAGCCCTGGGCTCAGGAAACTTTCACAGCTTCTTCTGCTCCGCAGCATTAGGTCTGTGATTCATTCTTGTAAGTTCTCCAAGAGGGCTGGTGTTCCCTCCTAGGCTACCTCACGGCCCGTGAGCTCCCCACACACCTGTCACTCTCATCACAACGGGCTCCCCTCAGGCTCAGGACCAGCCCCTGCTCAGCTGGGACCCAGGGCCTCCACTCGTGCTGTTCTCTCCAGGAAGCCACCCCCCTTTTCCCTGACTCTCCTCTGCAGACTTGTCTGACTGCTGGAGCCCTCTCTCCCTCGCTGCCACTGTGTGAGCGTCAGCCTCTCCTGAACCAGGCTGTGAACTCCTTGTACCTCTTCCCGCACCTCTGGCCCCCTCCGTTCCTGGTACCCTCCCGAGGCTGCAGACGGTTGCCTGATGGCCAAGGCGAGGGCTGAGTGTTGGCGCCAGGGGTCCCCCCCCAGAAGCCCAGGTCCCTTGGGGGCCTCACCTCCAGTACTCCTCGCTGGGGCTGGTCCTCTGGAGGGTGTGGTTGAGCGCGTGGGAGAGGTTGCCAGGCAGGGCGGGAGGCCGGGAGCCATTGGTGATGTTGGAGGCATCCAGCACGCCGGCGCAGTCGGGCGTGTTCCAGGGGTTACTGCAGTAGGCCCAGGGCAGCACGGGCGTCATGGACGAGAAGAAGTAGTAGAAGGCGATGCAGATGACCACGTTGTAGTAGATGCCGATATATGTGGACACCACCATCATGCCGTAGCCCACACCTGGGGGAGGAGAGGGGCAGGAGCAGCCTCACACGTCTAGCTGAAGGAGGCAAGGCTAATTCTGAAGGGCGTAAGAGGCAGGCTTTCATGGAGTGCCACAAAAGAGGCAGCTCAAGGCCTTGGCAGGGGCAAGCTGGGGGGCGAAGGGCCTTTGTGTATGAATGTGGTAGGAAGAGAGCGTGGAGGCCAAGTAAACATGGATCCCAGCATGTGTCCATGGCCTTGGCCATTGATGTGGGCCTCAGGTTAACACCAGTGTCCCATAGGGGTTGGCAGTGTTTATACAGATGGGTGAGTCAGCATGGTCCCCAGAGGCCCGTATGTGTGTGTGTGTGTGTGTGTGTGTGCGCACACCCCACCCAGGCCTCACCTTTGAACATGGGGCTGATCCTCCACACCCCCAGGCAGCCCTGACTTGCAAACTGGCCGAAGGAGAGCTCCATGAAGAACAGTGGGATCCCACAGAAGGTGAGCATGATGAAGTAGGGGAACATGAAGGCGCCTGGTGGGCGGGGAGAGGGCTGGCTCAGGACGGCTTTGGGGAAATCCCACCCTCTTCCTGCTCAGAACTGACAGCAAAACCTTTGCAACTGGCTGGGCCCCCAGGAGGGTGTGCCATGCACTGGGCCGGAGCCTAAGTCTGAGGCACACTGCTCACCACCTGTCTTTGAACCTGACAGAGGCTCCCAGGAAGTCTGCTCTGAGTCAAACCCAGGGCCCAGAGCCGCCATGTTTGGGTGGGATTTGATGGCTTAACCAAGCAATTTCACACACATTAGTCAATGAGATCCTCAAATATCCCTGAATCATTTGGGTGCGGGGCTGCTGAAACACAGGCAGTATAAAACAGGGAGCCTTGGGAGGTTGGGTTGCTTTTCTCTACCTCTCCTCCCCTCGAGGGAGCAGGCTGCCAGGGTCTGGGGTGCTGCGCCTTAGGTAAAGGGTACCTAAGCCAGGGATGGGGGCAAAGGAGATCAGGGCCAGAGGCCAGCCTGTCTGGAGTGTGTGCCGCGGAGGGCGCGGCTGGGCCCCGGGGGGTGGGCTCTATCCACGTGGGTGGACCCTGCCCTGTGCCCGCTGGCTACCTCCCCCGTTGCGATAGCAGAGGTACGGGAAGCGCCAGACATTGCCCAGGCCCACGGCATAGCCCACGCTCGTCAGTACAAACTCGATCTGGTTGCCCCAGTTGCCTCGTTTGAGGTTCTGGTCCTTCTTGGTGGCCTCACTGGGCACAGCACCATTCTGCGGGGACAGGAGAGAAGCTACCATCAGCAAGGCATTTGCACGTGTGGTGCCTGACCCTTTGGGCCTCCCCCAGTGGGGACACCATGGACCCTCCAGGCCCCCACCCCCCCCTGGGCTTCCCCTCTGCTGGCAGCCGCTGCAGGCAGGCCTGGCAGAGGACGGGAGAGGGAGCAGCGGCCACCGGAGGGTGCTAAGCCGGCCTCCCTCACCAGCCCCCCAGCACACTGTGCCAGGGGCACCAGCCCACCTGAGCAGCTGCTACCGACATCTGAGAGGTGGGACACTGAGAGGGGGCTCGAGTTGAGGGCCCCCCAGCGCCAGCCCCTCCCAAGCCTCCCCTCTCCCCTTTGGGTGAGGATCTGGGAGCAGCTGAGCCTCATACCAAGCAGCCAAGCTGGGCTGGGCACAAAGGGGCCTGTGTCCAGACAGCCCCCCCAGCCGCGGCCACCACATCGCCAGGCTGAGCACGCTGCCCATGGCAGGCGGCTGCGGGGGAGGGGACCTGGACCCCTCCCCCAGCTGAAGGCTTTTTCCGGGGGGCACACGGTGGGCAGGGCTGTAGGGTGGGGGAAGGGGGAAGCAACTGAGCTGGGCCAGACCTGGGGAGGGCATTCTGGGGCTCAGGATGGGAGGGCCAGGGGAGCCATGTATATTGCCCATGACAGGGGCGGGGGCCCTGGGGAAGCTGACCTGGGCTGGGGGATGCTGGCCATGAGTTGGGGGGAGGAGACCAGAGTTGTAGGCACCACGCCAGACTTGGAGGACAGACTCTGCTAGGGGAAACAGAGGGAGTGACTCTAGAAAAGGGTCTCTGAGCTGAGAAGAGGTGGGCTGCAGAAGACGGGCTGGTCAGGAGGGGCTGATGAGGGAGTTTGCCCCAAGGGAAGGATGCTGGGCTGGCCTGGAGGAGCTGCTAGGCTGGACTGGGTGGCCTGAAGCCCCACTGAGGACCCTAACCCCACAGTTGGAACTAACCCAGTAAGTTCCTTTATAAGTGAGTGCACCCCTCCCCCATGCCCTGGCCTTTCCACCCCCTACCAGGTGAGCTGGAAACCGAGCCACCCTGAGCCAGAGCCTGAGGGGTCAGAGGTGTCTCATTAAGAGACAGGGACCCCGAGAGTCACCAACAGAGAAGCCCAGAGAGCCCTTGAGTGATGGAGACAGTCTCCCAGAGATGGGCTGTTCTCCTGAGAGAAATGGCCAGGCGTCCCTGGAGGACACCCAGGATCAGAGACACAGCCGCATGGCCTCTGAGGGACGGCACTGCAGTGACGCTGACCCTCAGCTTGAAAGAGACATATTCAAGGACAATAGGCACGCTGGCCAGTAAACAAACGGGCCTGGTGCTTTGACACGCTGTCGGACCCTGACACTGACCAACAGATGCAGAGGGGAGGAGTGGCCTCCCCAGGCCTGCGCCCTCCGGAAAGGCCCATTTAGGAAGGCAGGCACAGGAGGCCCCGGCACCTGGTGGCGGCCCCCCAGCCGTGCATCCCTTGCTCCCGCAATGGGTACATCTGGGGGGGTGCTCTAGGCTTGCACACCACGTGGGCACTACAGCACAGACACCCTTGTCCTGCACACCCAATTAATCATTGCCCGGAGAAGACACTGAGCCTTATACCATCCCAGAAGGTTTGGGGGCACAGTACCAGAAACCGTGGTGCTTCCTTCAAGGAGCACGCAGAGCCAACCGGCAGAGCCTGTGTACTTTCATTCATGCAGCCACGGAGGTTTACGAGCTCCTACTATGTGCCAGGCCCTGCACCAGGCTCAGGGAATTCAGCAGTGAACAAAACACACCCCTACCCACTCAGAGCTAGAAGTCCAGGAGGAAGTAAGCCATCAATGAGATAAACACATAATTTTTATATGCAACTTCAATGTGCCCACAAAGGGGAATTTCTCAAGTCACAAGAGCATAGAAGGATGACAAGGGGTGGGGCTGGGGGCTGGGTGCGGTCGCAGAAGGCCTCCCTGATGAAGGGGCTTGAAGGCCACCTTGTCTCTGGGAGTGGGCGGCTCCCAGTCCCAGTGTGACAGGTCCTTACAGAATCCTGCTTAAGCCTGTCACCACCTCCTAGGGCCTTTTTTTGGGACAGGCCTAGAAATACCTCAGGGTCAGGGGAGCATTTTTTCAGAGGGTGTGAGGCCTGCTTGGGGTAGTTTATCCATTCCCAAACAAATCCCAGCCAAATAGGGCTCCTATATGTTGATCCTACAATAACAGTTTTATTCTGTCCAAGGCTTGTTTACTTAGGGGCACAATGGGGGATTGTGGCAGCTGTGGAGTACATGGGTGGGGTCACGAAGCAGCGGTTACAGCTGTAAAAGAGACAACTGAGGGTCCAGGATGGCCTCATGGGCTGGGCAAGGGCAAAGCCTCTTGCAGAGACCGAGGTCCCCAAGGCCTGAAGTTCAAGGCCTCTCTCCTGGCCCCAGCCCCCTGACCAAGTGCAGCGGGACCAGACGTGGACCTCTGAGGTCTGCTCCTTCCCTGGCATGGAGGGGGCAGGGAGGGTGATGATGCCCCCAGCCGAGTGCCATAGGCGGTAGCTTGACTGAGCCCTCAAGAGCCAGTGGTCACTCCATTCAAGAGCAGCACACCGCTAAGCCTTGTGCTAACCAGTTCAGCCCTACCGGCTGTGACCTGGGGAGGCCAGAGCCTGGGGTACAGGGGCTTGGAACTGGGGATTGGGCTGTGGCGGGAAGTAACAGGCAACACTAGGGGTCTGCTGTGCAGAAGGAGCTGAAATGATGCCCTGCAAGTGGTACGAGGAGCTCGCGGCAGAAGCAGCACCACCTGCTGCTCCCCAGCCCCGCGGTGCCCCATTCAGGGACGGTGGATGGGATGCTGCCGCGGGAGCCTGGTCCGCAGCTAGGCCTCTGACTTTTTTTTTTTTTTAACATCTTTATTGGGGTATAATTGCTTTACAATGGTGTGTTAGTTTCTGCTTTATAACAAAGTGAATCAGTTATACATATACATATGTTCCCATATCTCTTCCCTCTTGCGTCTCCCTCCCTCCCACCCTCCCTATCCCACCCCTCCAGGCGGTCACAAAGCACCGAGCTGATCTCCCTGTGCTATGCGGCTGCTTCCCACTAGCTATCTACCTTACGTTTGGTAGTGTATATATGTCCGTGTCACTCTCTCGCTCTGTCACAGCTTACCATTCCCTCTCCCCATATCCTCAAGTCCATTCTCTAGTAGGTCTGTGGCTTTATTCCTGTCTTACCCCTAGGTTCTTCATGACATTTTTTTTTCTTAAATTCCATATATATGTGTTAGCATACGGTATTTGTCTTTCTCTTTCTGACTTACTTCACTCTGTATGGCAGACTCTAGGTCCATCCACCTCACTACAAATAGCTCAATTCCAGCGCGGGCTATGTGCAGGCAGCCTGGCTGGTGAGGGCATAGCGCTCAGCAAGGACAGAAGAAGCCAACCTTCCTCCAAGTACACTGGAGGGAAGGGTCCCTCTGTAGGGGGGGGGTCCTAGGGGCTCTAGTTCCCTTCCTCCCCCAGCCCTCTTCTGGGGACGCCCCTCCACTTCCTTCCCTGGCAGCGACGCCCAAGGCTGGTGAGCCTTTTTCAATGCTGCACAACTTCTTTTCTCCTTGCATAATTTTCCCCATTCTAAGCCTCCCATTTTCTTGATCTGCTAGGTGGACGGCGTGTCACTGATATTAACTGTCCCTGCAGAGGTTGTTGGCTCTGAGGTGCCCACGAAAGAATTTCTTTGTGCTCCTGGTCTGCCCAGACTGGTGGCCTGTCTGCCTAACCCAGCTCGGCCCCGCCCACTGGCCGGGCTCCAGGCTGGTCCTGCCCATCACCCACCTCCCCCTGTCAGCCCCTTGCTGCTCTCCCAACCTCCCTCAGTCAGTCGCTCACACCTGGGTGGTGAATTAAACCATAGTGGCCTGGTGCCCCTCTGGGCTGCTCCCCTCCTCCTTGGGCTCCCTGGAGGGGCTCCCCCACCTCACCTCTGACTCGCCCGGTGAGTGATCTCCAGGGCAGGGAATGCCCTGCCCTGCCCTGTGCCCGAGCTTCCCCAGGCCCGGCAGGATGCAGGCTACTGGGCGTGCCTTCCATGGTTGTGTGGGTGGGCTGGCTGATCATCCTCCATGACGCCTGCCATGCACAGACATACACGTATAAAACCCTCCATGCCCCTTACCCTTAGAAGCAGTCGTTGACCTGTCTTGGGTTCACAACTTCCCACCCCTGTTCCTGCCTAGAGGGGTGAGCCACACCGAGCAGTCACTTACATAAGTCCTTTCCATAGCCCTCTGCCCTCTACTTATTCACTGGTCCGGATGAACTCCTGGAATTAAGGGAGTTCAGCTCTGAGGGCAGAATCCAGATCTCCCTCTATACCTTGGGCTTGGCAGGGCGGGACCCTGCGCTGGGGGTTAGAAGCCTAGCATTCTAAACCTGCTCCCTCAGCAGCCCTGGGCAAGCCACTTCCACTCTGAGCATTCAGCGTCTTTACCTGTAAAATCAGGGGATAGACAGACAACCTCAATGGATCTCCTAATATTCTGTAGCTCTGCCCTGCCTGGAATTTGCTATTTCTGACTCTCTCCTGTATTTTCCATTAGTTCCCACTGGCTTTCTAAACAACTTAAAAAAAAGAAGGTGTTATTGCTTTCTTTCTGATTATAAAAGCATTATAAGCTTATCATTAAAAAAAAATTGGAAACTACAGCAACGTGTAAAGAAACAATGCTGCAGAGCCCGCTCCCAGTGGCGGCCACCAGCACCACCGCAGGGGTGGCCCTTCCTTCATGCTCAGACCCAGAGGCAGGCCAGGATTCTACCCTGGGCGACGGTTGTGCTCTGGCTCCCGACTCCTGCCCTCCGAAAGCGGTGTCCACGGGATATTTCTGTGAATTGTGGGCTCTGCTCTTGGTGGGCACTGAGGAATCCTGCAGCAGCCCGGGCAGGGCGGGCCCCACTAGGATCCAGCAGGCTTCTTGTCCAGGACTCTGCAGCCCCAGGGTTTGCTCAAGGGATGAAGCCCCATCCAAGACAAACTTTGTGGAGGAGAACGGGCAAGACCCTACATCCCAGACTGACCTTGCGCCAAATCCAGATCACTGGCAACTCTCTCTGAGTCCCAGTGGGGAATTCAGGCAGAACAGCCAGGACAGTAAACTGTGGCTGCCTCAGGAGACCCTGTGACCCCCTCACACCCCTTGGTTCTTGTTTCCCCAACTTCTCTCCCGTCGGTCCAATCAATCCAGGAGCCAGGCTGGCCCTCAGGCAACATCTGCACCGCAGTGACAGAGCCTTCCATCTTTCATCTGGCTTCGCTCATCCAGACACGGGAGAGTCAAGAGCCCGGGCTGGAGCAGCGGGACCGTGGGAAAATCTACCCCAGACCCGAGCAGTACGCAGGGACTATTAGTGCCTCTCGCTTCAAGGAAAACCTCCGAGCACCTGTCCGGAGATCAGGCCCTCACACAGGAGGTGAGAGAGGCAAGGACATGCCCGGGCTGTTTCGTCCCAGAGCCCTGATTGGCAGAGAGTGATCTGCCAGTATTGTGGACAGCAGACAGGAGATGTACCCCAGGCATGCCAGGCTCCACTCCGGGCCCTGGGAGAAGTGATAGGGCCATTGGGTGGGCTCTGCTTCTGCCCTGAAGACCAGCAGTCATGCCCTGCACTGTGGCAGCCGTGAGCAGTCTCTGCCCCGCTCGGTTGGCAGCGGGCTCGCATTCTGGAAAGTGGCTTTGGCTTCTGACCCTGGCAGTCCTGAAGGTGGAGGGCAGCCCTGCATAATGTTTCTCCCAAATGCAGCCCACATCTCCCCAGAGGACATTCCTTCTCTTGCCTTCCGAAGGTCAAGTCAGGATGCCCTCCGGGCACTTGTCCTAGACACTGGCGAACACCGCGTGGGGTCTCCCTCCTCGCAGCCGAGACTGTTGCCCCATCCCGTTCCCCCATGCTCACCACTGAGTCCATGTAACAAGTCCCCCTGCCCCCTCACCACTCTCCCCATAGGAGTAGCTGCCGTGGCACAGACAATGGGGCTGTATTGATTAGTACAATTCCTGGGCACCTCCGGCCTGTCTCCCTGGGAGCTAGGACAATGCAGCTTTGATACACAGAGCAGATTCTCAGCAGGTCCCTGGGCTGGGGGAGCCCTAGTAGCCCCACTCTCCTCCCCTGTGCCGCCTCCGCATAGCTAACTCTTCCCGCTCCTTTGCACAGTTGCAACTTTCTGGGTCACTTTTGCTGCTGTCTGTCTCTCTGGCTGGCTGTGCCTGCCCCTCCCTGGCACAGACCACTCAGTCCCTCTCCCCACCCCCAGCCCTGCCTCCCAGTCTTCCTGGCACCAGAGAGGGGGCTCGACCTCCTGGAAGGTGACTGACCTGTTCTGGGGAGGAGGGGGCCACAGGTCCCTGAGTCGCGGCCATCCCAGGGTGAGCACTTGGCGGGCGTGTGCGTGTCCCCTCTCATTCACACCTCTGCCGGCTCCGGGCGACACTGACGCATCCCCTGCCTCCTCCACTGCTGGCTGGGCAGCATCAATTACTTTCACCTCATCTCCTCCTGAAGCTCTGCCTACCCCCTCCCCGGCCCTCCCCCTCCAGCCAGTCCCCATGCAGCCCAGCGCGGGTGCTCCACAGTTAGAGTGAAGCGCAGGGTTTGTTGTGTTTCTCCCTTGTTCCCAGCAAGTTATTGGAACAAAACACATACACACACACACACACACACACACACACACACACTCACAGCCACAGGGTGAGGCAGAGCAGGCGTGGAAGAGAGAGAGAGGGCAGCTCAGTCCCATTCCAGAATGAGGTCTGGGGCCCAGATGCTTCTGAGCGCATAGGCCTGGCACTTGGTGGGCTCCTGGTAAGGTGGTTGGGTACCACTGGGCACTAGAGATGGTGAAGGAGAAGGGGGAAGGGGGCACAACCCACAGGGCACTACCAGAGCATCTCAGACTTCTTAGAATGCTGTGGGCTGGGGGGTGATGGGTCCTGAAGCAGTCCTCCCAGGAGCTGGGGACTCCCAACCAGCCAAGACGATGGAGTGTCCTCATTAGAGAATATGACTGACCATGTAAAAAAGCTCTGGCTTAGTGAACGGTGCTGTCACCTGTCTGAAGAAAGATGGCATTAGCCAAGAGGGTGGCTGCAGAATAAGGACCTTTGAGGATTAGTACTGCATCACCCAGAACCTGAGGTATTCCCTCTGGGAGTGTGTACCGAGTGGGCTGGGCACAGTCTAGCAGGTGTCACCATGGCTGGGGTGGAATGTCACTCAGACCCATCCAATCCCTCTTCTCTGAGGCCACACTCACTGGTCAGTCTCCAGTGGATGCTGAGACACCACAAACCCATGGCCAGGAAGGTGGGCACGAGTGTTCTGGTGCTGGGAAGGCATAGCTCTTTTTGGAAACTGGTAGGTTGGCAAAGGGTCTGGTACATGGTAGGATCTTAGTAAACATCGGTCAAATGGAAGCATGCATGAATTCTGATGTAAAGGAGAGCTTCCTTGTGAGTTTGGTAAGTGAGGTGACCCCAGCGGGAACATGGCAGGATGACATTTTTTTTAAGGGCAAAGGCTTTAGAGTCAGACAAGCCTGGGTTCAAACCCCAGCTCTGGCAGTTCTCACTATATATATCTCCTTAGGCAAGTCACTTAACATGTCTGGTCTTAGTTTTTTCATCTCTAAGATGGGGATAATACCCATCCATCTTTGAAGCTATTAGCATTATTAATAATAGTAACAGATAATACATATTAAGTGCTTACTATGAGCCAGACACTGTCCTAAACACTTTATATATATATTAACTCATTTAATCCTTCCGACAGCCCCTTGAGGTAGGTATGTTGTTATGCCCATTTTGGGGAGGAAGATGGGGACTGACCTCGGCTCAAGCAAGTCTCCTAAGAATGGCCTCAGACTCCACTGACTGAGCTGTTCCCCGGGCCAGCCTCACGCAGCCGGGTCCCCAGACACGCTCCGCGGACTTCCTGTGAGCCCAAACTGAGGGCCAAGGCCCTGGCTGGGCCACTGGCTCCAGGAAGGCCCAGTCACCCATGATGCCCAACTGCTCACTTCCATCCAGGGTGGGCTCTGGGCTTTGGCTGCCCTGGCCTGGGCTGGGTGCCCAGAACAGGCAGCCCTGGCTGGACAGCTTTCTCTGGCTCTGGCCATGGGGACAGGAGGCGGCAGTGGCCCAGCTGGGTCCTGGCAGTAATGAGGCCTCATTAGCGGGATCCAGCTGCTCAAGCCCCACTCAGGGAGGCCGACTCCCCCAACCCCGCCTCTGACTTTTCTTAATAAGAGTGGGCATGCCTCCAGAGGGCCAAGGAGTCTAGGGGCTTTGTTGTACCCTGTGACTCCGAGGGAAGGTCCTACTGAGCCAGGACTGGAAAGTGCTGGGGGTGGAGGGGCTGCAGGGAAGCCGTGTGAGGGGAGGGGAGGCCGCAGGACTGAGTAGGTGGCCTCCAGGGAGGCTGGGGAGGGGAGGGAGACCAAGGGGAACAGAGGGCAGGTCCTAGGTCCGGAGAGGAAGCCTGGGGAGGTTGGGCCTTTTCCTCTGGATCTAGATATTGTCCATTTCACTGGGGAGGGGGTAGTTGTGTATTTAGGATCATCTAGTTGATTATCTAAGTCATTGCTCAGGCTGTCCTGGCTAGGAGAGCACCTTCTCTGTGCTAGGCCTTATAGAAGGAGAGTGCCCACTGTGTGTCGGTGCCTGAGGTAGGAGAAGACCTACTGTGTGTCAAGCCCGTGCTAGGAAGGCACACAGTGTGTGCCAAATCCAATGCTGGGAGAGCTCCCACTGTGTGCTAGGCTCTGTAAGAGAGCACCCACTGTGTGTCCACCCCACAGGGAGCCCTTGTGGTGTGCTGGGTCCTGCACTACACGAGTGCCCCATGCATGCCAAATTCTGTGCCATGTGAGGACCCAGTATATGTCCAGCCCTGAGCAGGGTGAGCACCCACTGTGCCCCTTGCACTGTGTTAAGTGAGTGCCCAATGTTTGCCATGTCTGTACTAGCTGAGCACTTGTTACATGCTGGGACTCATGCTAGGTGAGTGGCTGGTAAGTGACAGGCCCTCTACCAAGGGAGGGCCAGGTGGGTGTCAAGCCTGTGCTTGCTCAGATCCCAATGTGTGTCAAGCCCATACTAGTTGAGCACCTGCTACATGCCAGGACTTGGGCTGGGTGAGCACCCACTGTTCACAAGGCCCTGTGATGGCTGCTGCAGACAAGAAGTATCCAAACCCTCTTGTCAAAGCATAACAGAACAGGTCGGGGCGGGGCAGCCCCAGGTGGCCTGTGGTGCTTTCAAAGCCTTTTAGGGGTCTTCCCTGGTGGTGCAGTGGTTAAGAATCCGCCTGCCAATGCAGGGGACATGGGTTCAAGCCCTGGTCCGGGAAGATCCCACATGCCGCGGAGCAACTAAGCCCGTGCGCCACAACTACTGAGCTCTGCCCTAGAGCCCACGAGCCACAACTACTGAGCCCGTGTGCCACAACTACTGAAGCTCGCATGCCTAGAGCCCGTGCTCTACAACAAGGGAAGCCACCGCAGTGAGAAGCCTGCCTCCACTCACTGCAACTAGAGAAAGCCTGCGTGCAGCAACAAAGACCCAACGCAGCCAAAATAACAAACAAACAAACAAACAAATAAAATAAATTTAAAAAAAAAAGCCTTCTAGGACGATTCAGATGTTCTGGCACCCAGGGCTCTAGCCCGGGTGACACTGCTCTTATTCATCATGAGGCTTCCAGCAACCAGTGAACTCAAAGATGTTGGGGCTTCCCTGGTGGTGCAGTGGTTGAGAGTCCGCCTGCCGATGCAGGGGACGCGGGTTCGTGCCCCGGTCCGGGGGGGATCCCGCGTGCCGCGGAGCGGCTGGGCCCGTGAGCCGTGGCCGCTGGGCCTGCGCGTCCGGAGCCTGTGCTCCGCGACGGGAGGGGCCGCAACGGTGAGAGGCCCGCGTACCGCAAAAAAAAAAAAAAAAAAAAAAAAAGATGTTGGGAGAGGCCAGTGAGGCTCACCAAGGCCTTTCTGCCCAAGATGCTGTATGAGTGGGGAGCGGACACAGGGGAGGGGGCTGAGTTGGCCAGCTTGTGGACTTGGTGTGCAGCTGTGGGGTTAAAGCTGACCCAGTAGGGCTCTCCTGTCCTGGGCTCCTCTCCTCCAGCTCTCTGTCCTCCGAGCCCCAGGCAGCCCGGCCCCACATGTGTATAGAGGCACTAGGTCTCCACAAAAGGACCACCGCCACCCCCCACCCCCAGTGCCCCCAAGCATCCCAGCTGCTCCCAGGCTTGGAGGCACCCTGGCCAGCTGGGTTCCTGCACGGCCCTGTCCTAGGAGCTGCTGAGGCGTGAGGGAGGCAGCTGAGCTGGCCTGGCAGAGACCATCTGGGCTGGGAGAGGGGGGAGGGACACGTGGGGGAGGGACACGTGCGGCAGGCATGTGGGTCTGGGCACCTGCTGGGAAGTGGCTCACCCTCCACGGGGCACCTGCCACATGAAGAGCCCAGCAGAAGGTCCAAGGATGACATAGGGTGGACACTGAAGAGACCCAGGGGACACCTGTCCTCATACCCAAACCTGGGGCAAAGGGGGATGGAAGTGAGGACCCCATGGCAGGGGCCAGCTGCCTACTCCCAGCCTACCAGGGCACAAACGGTAACAGAAACCACAGACCTGGGACAGTCCAAGTGCCACTGGCTTACATGCATGGCCCTTAAGACACTCTGTTCTGCCCCACCATGGCATCCAGAGGAGCATCCTCAGTCACCTGCCCTTAGGGGACCACAGGCACCTAACAAAGTCCAGGCGCAGCTGCCTAGGTTAGCTAGGAGAGATGGCGCTCCTCAGAGGCTGTATCCTAGAGACAAGCACTGAATGGAGGCGGAACTGGTTCCAAACTGGGTCCCGAGAATAGCGGAGCCCAAGGTCATAAGCAGAACTGAGAAAGAATCAGGAATAGAATCTCGAGCAACCACTGGGGGTGCCCAGGGGACATGCTATGGAGCCTCAGACTCAGCAGCGGCGGGCAGAAGTCAAAGGTCAGAGGGCACGGAGGAAATCGAGCCCCAGCTATCTTTAGGCACATCCTGGTGCTGGGAACAGGCGTCCCAAGGCAACATTCCCTTCCACAGACGGGCTGGCCTGCTGGCCGGCAGAGCCCAGGGTCCGGGAAACTCAGCTCCGGCAGGGATTCTGGGACCTTGTGATTCATGCTCCCTATGCTGCCCACGTGGGTTCCACATCTCTCCTGCCTCCCTGCCCCAGTCCTCTGAGGGTCGCTCCAGAGAAAGTAGAGCAGCCAGGACTGAGTAGTGCAGAGTACTCGGAGGGTTTCTTAAGTTTCATGGGACACAGAATCTCCATGTAGGGAGGGGCAGAGCCACTTCCTGTAACAGGCCCATGGCAATTCCGACACTTCCGGGAAGCGTGAGGCCATTTTTGATTCTATCACAGCATCCACCCCCTAGCAAGTATTCAGGTCAGGAGACCTCCAGCTCTGCCCACATCTGAGCACTCAGAGTTCAGGTTGGCTGAGGAATACTTTGAGAAGCTTAGCGCATTCGGACATGTTCCAGTCAGGAGTGGGCCAGACCAGAGCAGGTCTGAGGGGCTGGATGCTGGAAGTTCAGAACGGGATAGAGGATAGAGGGTCCTGAGCCTGGAGCATGACTGTCCAGCTCCCTCCCCCAGACCATTCCTTTGGACCAAGTACTTCGAGTCCCAGAAATCAAATCCCTGGTGAGGGACAGGGCTTGTTTTGGGAGGGCTCGGCAGAGACCCTGGGCCAATCAGTCTTTCACTGAATGTGAACAGCAACAGGAGAATCCATGTGGAGAAGGGAGGAGCCACGGGAGGGGCCGTGCTCAATCACTGGCTTCCTCCCCTGACAGCTGCCCAGTGTCACTGGCTCCTGAGGCAAGATCCCAAGTGAAGGAATACAACCACTGCCCTTGGGGTATCTTCCTGGTTCCTGATTCCAGTGCTGGCCTGTTCCATCCATCAGTGAGCCGGCCCTTGCCCACTGCTTCTCACCACCTCTCCTGTGCTCTGAGGCAGTGAGCAGTGAAGAGCTGTGGCTTGGGGACGGGGGAGAGGGAGGTTTTCTGAGGAAAGGATTCAAAATGAAACGCTCTGGGCTTCCCTGGTGGCGCAGTGGTTGAGAGTCCGCCTGCCGATGCAGAGGACGCGGGTTCGTGCCCCGGTCCGGGAAGGTCCCACATGCCGCGGAGCGGCTGGGCCTGTGAGCCATGGCCGCTGAGCCTGCGCTCCGCAACGGGAGAGGCCGCAACAGTGAGAGGCCCGCGTACCGCAAAAAAACCAAACAAACAAACAAAACCAAAATGAAACGCTCTATGTTACTTTTCAGAGTGGAAGAAGAAAAAAATCAGACAGGCTCTGAGGACCCCTTGATCAGCACATGCTGAATGCTCCCCACGGCAGGCAGAGCACAGCGTTGGGGGTGCCTGGGTGTCAGCCACAGGACAGCCCTCCCAGCAGGACTGACTGCAGCCTTCTCTCCAGGGTATCTTGTGATGAGGGTGGGAAGTGTGCCTCGTGCCTCCTAGCATGCCTTTCAGGCTCTGTGGTGGAATCTGCACTGCTATGGGCTCGGAGCCATGGCAGCATCTAACCTGCTGGGTGAGGGGCTGCCCACCTGGGCCTGGGACAGCCCTAGCACTCAGGAGCCCTGGCAGTGCCAGACTCGGGGCCCCACGGAGCCTCCTAGGCCCTCC